TTCGCCAAATTATATATTTGCCCGAACAATTTCAATGGTTTCGGATCGCTACACCACCGTCCTTACAGCACAAATTTGACAATGCCCAAAATCAATCTACTAAATTTAAGGCCCAGAAATAAGTGACGAAACTAGTTTGGCAGGGAACTAGGCATGAAAACACCCAGTATAAGGTCGCAATTTCATTTGTATTAAAGGGCATTCTGAGGCATTCTGTCCAAAACAAGGCTTTCCATGTTTGGGTATAGAATGAACGGGACACACTGAACGGAACAATCTGCGCGCGAAGGTACTGAAGAAACACCCACTCAGTAGCATGGTGGCCACTCAACAGGAAAAAATGAAACGGGTTCCCTTCAGGATCAGAGTGATTTTTTCAAGGCTTGGAAGTTGTTGCAAGGCAAAAATGTGGCAAACGCGGCTGGAGGTAGGATGCCATGAGGACAAAAAAAAGAGAAGCGGAGGGGGATCGAGCCACGGCTAAACTGCTTGTGAACCAGCTGGGCACGGGGGGCTGGAGAGTCATTGACTATGCAGTTTCATGCGATTGGAGATTTCAACCCCTCAATACCTTGCCAAAAGAAGAAAAATTTGAACAAACACAACTAGTTTTCGTGACACAACAAAGCCAAAAACGAGGTCACGGGCAAGCATTCAAAACGATTTGGTAACTGCTACAGATCACTGCGTTCGCGCACGCGAAGGCATTTTGTCTTACGATGTTTATGCGCTACCTCCTCTCTGTTCTAATTCATTGGCGGAACAGTGCACTCCACTGCGAGTTGTTTCTGGTTTTGAAATTGGTTGGTGGTATTGGTTGTTGCCTGCCTTTACGCGACCTTTTTGTACAACAAACTTACGATTTTTGCCGCCCTCTTGCTGCGTACGGTTTTTTCTTCCGAACTAAATTTCCTACAACAAATAGAAATAGTAACTCAAGGTTGCCAGGGACATCCTTGGGAAAGCAAGGGGAAAAGGGAAAAACTGAGCGGAAGGTCCAGGCGTTCCATGCTCAAAATGAATGCGCATAAGAAGGAAAACTACAGAAACTTTACCTGTGAATTTGGGTAGCGTTGTCATGAAGAATTGGTTGGCATGGGATTTGCCCAATAAGACCTCCCCCTGTCAGATATCGTATTTTGTATGATTGCGTTTTCGAACTTCAATAATTATTGTGATTTTGCGGCGAATTCGGTTTTTGCCTTTGCAAAGCCGCACCTGGCGTTACAGGAACAATTTTTTGATGGCAAATCTTGAAGGATTGGTCACACACATTGCGCCTCCTCCGGTTTGTGTTTGAGGTCCCCTCCGGCATGATGCCTTACATGGATGGGACCAACGTATGAGGACAAACACGAGAAGTACTGGCAGACCCCGATGCCGGAAAACTATTGTGACGATTGAAAATCCAATGCGCCAACCAGGCATCAAAGTTCGCTTGAATATTTTCATGGCATATCGAAAATTTAGGATTTTATTGCCTTCGTACATGTAATGAAACGGGAGGGGAAAAGGGGGCCGGGGATGAATGGAGGGGACTGAGGGGACGAATGGTGGCAAAAAAAGGGAGGGGGGAGGGGCAAGGACGGGGCCAGGAAGTCAAAAACTATAGTATCGTGGATGATCATTCGGACGTTTTCGGTTCAAAACCTCTGCCCTAGTGCAGGAAATATAATCAAAATAACCCTGCAGGAATTACATGTCCTGGTTTGCACGCATTTTGTGGAGAGGGTTGCTGTTCATACTGTCAACGACCTGATGCAACAGCCATTATTTGTTTGTTCAATTTTTTTGTTGACACTTTACTTGCCGATCGTTGGGTTCCAGGACGTGCGCTTGTTTAAGCCCTATGCGGCAAAGCAAGAATGGAATACCACAGCACACGTGTGATGACAACTTTCACTGACTTGGTAAAAGGGAAAACGTTTCGCTCCCAATTTTTTGGTCTGAAGAGTTTTGAGCACAACTTGAAGATTCATTCGCGATTTTTTTTTGAATTGCCCGGCCCGTGATGGATTCTAATAGCGAGGTGAATGGCGTTTGTGTTTTTGTCATTTTTGTGTTCATCTGTGATGCTTTCGTGCCCCTGCGCTTTCGGCCAGCCGGTTGCAAACACACGGTGGCATCATGACGCAGGATCGACGACAATACTACAGCATTTGGCAGCGTCTGGCTTCAAAACTTTTTTGAAATAACAAATGCAGCACGATTGAAATTGCCTTCAATCATGTTGGCGCGTGTGGCGGATCCTCGCCTTCAATTTTTGTTTCAACCGGCGGCGGCATCGGTCTTGTCAGCTCTCTGGGGCGCATCGGGCCCGAAGCTCATGCCAAATTGCAATTTTTTCTGGAACCAAAAAGCGCCTGACGATACTCGCTGAGTGACACTTCTCGATGTGCTGTCAATGCAAATGACTGACATCAACTGTACGTACTGTTTCTGCAAGGTTTGCACATGCGTAAATATACAACACCCCACCTTGATATAGGCATTTGCCTTATATCACTACAACGCCTCAGGACTCTTCAAAAGTCCGGGTTGTGCTGTCTATTGGAATTCTGTGCTGTGAAAAGTTGCGCTACGGCAGCTGTCCAACTGTTGTTTCTGGATCAGCTACCGGTTTCATTGGCGCGTGCCACGCTCAGTAGGTTTCTGGACCTCCTTCACCACTGCCAGAAGGTCCATAGTGCAAGTCGGCCCAGAAGTCAGCGTCTGAGACTTCTCCCATGCCAAAATTCATGTACCTTATTCTGCGCTGGTTTTCTGTTTCACCTGGTCCATCCATGCAGTCATCATCGTCGTTGTCGTCGTCCTCGCCATCTATCAGTGCAGGCTCTGGTGCTCGAACAGCTCCACCAAATGACTTGAGCAGGTCACACCCAGGCTCCCACCTGTTGTTCTCCAGGAATCCCATCAAATGGCCACAGGCCAGTGTCGAAGACTGCACCAGTTGAGCCATCACTTCTAGTGGGTGTCCATGGCGGGGCGACTCATCATCTGAACTCAGCTCATTGTCATACTTGAGGATCCTTCCATGGGTTGAACTGTCTTGTGCTCTTTTCAAACGTCCAAGAACTCGATTCAGCGTAAGGGTCAACAACCTTCCTAGACTGGTTCAGCATTTTTTTTTTCCTTCGGGATATGGCCGAAATGCACTGCGGCACGGTCCTTGACAAAATATACGACGCTGTACAACTGAATTGCACTGGAAGCACATGCAATCAGGATACCTGATCAAAAGGTATTGGGTCAGTTGGCCAATGGATAACAAGAGGCGCCAGCATCAAAGCCGAGGAAATGCAGATCCCCCAGCCAGATCTGCGTATCATCGCCTTGCCAAAAACAACAGCAAAAGGGGCCAGGGCCCAAAACAAACAGAAACACAAACCGGCCAACCGACCATCCTCTCAAATCTCCACATGGTTAAAAGATCCGCAAGATCTACCTAAGCCATGCAGGTTAGCAAAGAAGCTTTCCTGTGAAATTAAACGAATTAGACACAAAAAACTAATTACAGTGAACTACCTTGGTTCTAAATTGACAGACTGCTTTGCCCAGTCGCTTAGACCACAATAGCGAAAATGCACTGCACGGGTCTACATAGAGCTCTCTCAGATTCCGCTCAATAGTGCTTGGGCAGCTCAACGAAAAGGGCCACGCTGCAGCCAGATGCATTCACTGCGTGGCATCCTCATACAAATTGTGTTGCAAAAAAGGTCACCAGAGAAGTCATCATGCTGGCCAGTGGTGGGGCCCCCCCAGGGGCCCAACCACACGGTGAAAGATCACAGCTCAATCTCCACCGCAGTCATCGCTCTAAAGGCGCGGCCAGATCCGTTCACCAGCGGGCACATCCCACAGAGGTAGATCTAAGAGACAGGGTGCCCTCAGGGTGGATGCTATTCGCCGGACAGTAAGGTAAAAGGGGATTGTGGCCAGGCAGCGCATGCCATCAACGTAAGAACTAGCTACCTGCTTCGAATTAGCCAAGCTATCCGTAGGCTTGACATCAAAGGCGACATCGGCAAAACAGTTGTAGACGTTCGAATTCACTGTATTTCCTTTGCAGAAAATGTAGACATCGTCGGGATCAGCAAAAGACACGGCCTGGTCCAGGTGCAAGAGCATCACGGCCACAAGCAGATATCTCCAGAGAGACCAGCCACGTTGGGTCAAGGCAGCATGATACATGGTGCAGAGGGATAAACTGGATAAACCCCACACAGGGCCACGGCCTTTGTTGCCAAGCACCACAACTGCCACGAGCAACCTTCCATTCCAGTCATCTCTGACAGCCACCTGGCAAAGCTCACCACAGTCCATACACAGATTCTCCGGCAACGGAGATCGATGGCACTACGTCTGATCAGCTTCCACCGACAGCGGCGTGACCAGTGCGAAAGCAATCCATGGGCGCAACCTTTGTTGCTGCACGGGCGCACTGGGAGATATAACAATGGGGCCAAGTCTTGGAGGCACAAACTTTAACTTTAATTGTTGATGCCGCAAGGAAGCAGCACCACTGGATCACCTCCAGAACATGGCGACGGGGCCGAAACTGCTGAGAGGAGGCACCACAGGACGCAAAAAAATCAAGGAAATTCCCAAGCCAAAAAATTAAAAAGAGACAGCAAAAAGACCACCGACACAGACAGAGCTCAAAAACACCCAGGTGGGGGCACAAGCTGGGCCACAGGCAGAGATAAGGAAAGGCAGCCGAAAGGCAGAACTTACAATAGAAGGGGGGGCCATCCAAGGAAAGGGACCAGCCAGGCAGGGGTGAAGGGGATCAAAGCCATACGGGCAAGGGAGAAGCAACGGGGGAAACCTTAAAACCCCCCGGAAAAAGACAAGACACCAAAGTGCCCTCAAGGGAACACCCCCTGAGACAGAAGAAGAAAGGTTAGGCAATCAGATGTTACTGAGGTCCGCACTCTTGAGTTGGATTGTAACTGGTAGCGGCCCGCACTCCAGCATGGAAGAAATCTTCCTCACGGCAGTCACTCATGTATTAAGTAGCGGCAGCGAATACGCAATGCTTTGTGCGCACGGTACCACCGCTTATCGTCTTCCAGGTGCGCATGCCACTCGCAGTCGGGTACGAAGTGTGATGGCTCTCTGCTTGCAGCGCGCTGACGGAGCAATTTTTGCTGGGCTCGCATTTGCTGCATTTGTTCCATTTCTTCCTCCGGCCCCGGCGGTTTCTTCCTGATTTTGCACGAAGCACATGATTTGGTAGCCCCTTGCTGCTCGAGTTCTGCCTGCGATAAATACATACTGGGTCTCGCAAAGAAGACTCTTTGGGCAAAAAACTCGCCATCCACCTTAAGCTCCCCGAACATGTGAGCCACCTTGAGCCGCTTGGCAGCTGTGGATGCAAACTCGTGGAGGTTGGTACTCAGGTACCATCCTCTGAGGAAGCTGTAATCAGTGGGCCAGTTCGGCGGGTATATAGTGGCATCACATCTCCACTTCTCTGGGGTAAGGCCCGAGTCACTACGACATCCAGCACAACTCGGGTCGCACCTACTGGGCAGAAGGCCTGCATGATGTCCTGATGTATGAGGGATTCACGGAACCTTCCAGTGAGCACTGATGGGAAACAATCCTTTCGTGCCCACTCACTATCTACTCCAAGGTCAAATCCTGCCGCATTACTGTCGAGAAAGCGTATTGCAGTTAGGCTCCCAGCTACTTTTTCCTGACTATCTTCAGAAGTGTCCCGCGGGCACTTTGCACACTCTGAATGATCACAATCGAAACTTCTGCAGCTTTCCCATCAGTCCTGGGGCCCTCCGTGAAGACCGGGCAATTTTGCTGGAAACCATACAACCAATGTAGCTCTATTCACGACAGTAATGCCAGCAATTGTTTTTGTGTGGTGACAGAGAGTGACTTTGACAGGACCACGGGGAGGACGCTTATACGATTCACGTCATCCGGCTCTTTGGCTGCCCCAAGCAACTCAGTCAAACTTGGGCGAAACCAGTAAGTTGCGTACATGAAGCATGATGTGTGCGGATCTGCCAGATCTTCCGCATGTCGCATAAGCCGGCTTAAGTATTTGGCAAGGTGGTGTGCCAACCGGATAGTGAAGCTTCGTACCACTGCACGAATGGTGGAAACTGGTTCAGCATCCTCTGTTATGAGAGGTTCAGGTGGAATCAAGGCTGTCACAGGCGGTTTCTCCACATAGCTCATGTCATGCCATGGGCTGGCTCGGAGCATCCACCAGCTGTAGAGCGTGCAAAGTAAGGTCGGTGTGCAAAGGACCAAGGTGGGCATACTCAGTGTAAAGCCGCCTGCATTACCAGGCGATCCACTGTCACATCCTGCCAGAATTGTGGCAGCAGCTGCAATCCGCATCTGAAGACAAACCATCCACCAGATGCAGCATACTGCTGGCATTCTCGTACTCCTCATAAGACGCATGGTGCAGGTAGGTCAACATCTCCTGCAAAATGGACTTCCGTTGTTGATATTTCTAGACCCTCTGTAGATTCTGATTCGCAGCTGCAAGAAGTTCACGACGTGTGCGAACCAGCCTTTGAGATAAGAAAGCTCGGGGCTCAGCAGCATCACAGAGGAGGCCCGCACATGCGAAGCCTGATTGACTTTCCGGCCCCAAAAATGGAACCTGAAAGCGCACATGTGGTATCAGCTGTCTCCGTTCACTGGCTCCAATGTGGCGATTGCGATGCAGCACCACCAAGGCAACATTCACCAATCCTTCGCTACTCCGCGCTACCCCGCTACTCCGCTACTCCGTGCTATGTTTTGATTCAATCACCCAATGTAATTGACACATATCGAAACGATGACGGAGTAAGAAAGCCTTCAATGCTTCACCTTCCCACATCTTTCCCTAAGCAGATTCTTACTCCATCCCGTGTTCAATTTATTGAAGGAAGTTTAAAAGTCAAACTTCGGACAATATGGACAGATGAAAAGCAAAGATGGGAAGAGTCAGAGAAGAGAAGACAAGAAAAGAAGATCAAAAAGAGAAAGTCTCAGAAGCAAGAAGATGCTGATGCGCGAAAAGGTAGGAAAGTCGCGAAACACTGTGTTTTTCCAATGCTTTGTGTCTGCGGAGGGTCGAAAAGTAGGCTTGCTAAAGCGCGGCGGGTGCGGAGCCAGTTGGCCAGATGAGAGATGAAAATTGCACACCGTTGTGGCCCGAAGCACATTTGCAAGTGAAAAAGCTGAAACACCTCATGTTCGGAACACTTTTGGAAGTTGAGATGTAGAAAAAGTGCACGCCGTTGTGGCGCGAAGCACATTTCGAAGTCAAAATGTACAAAACACACCATGCCCGGACCACTTTTGGAAGTTGAGATGTAGAAAAAGTGCACGCCGTTGTGGCGCGAAGCACATTTGGCACCCTTGGCTGCTTGGAGAGCTCGGGAACCACTGGGTAAAAGCCACGGCTGGCTTTCATGTTTGCCATCTGGCGACGGGCGTCCAGGTAGGTCGCACAAATCTCCTCATATTGTTGTTCAGCTTCAGCGTGTGCTCGTCGTCAAGGTCGTTCTCCTCAGGGATGTAGGTGCAGTAACCATCTTCGTAGTTCTCGTCCATCTCATAGGTGTCATCATCCTATTGTTCCCAGGCTGAAGCATCATCATCAGATTCGTCAGGCCAATCTTCATCATCCCGCTCGTAGCCATCCTCCACCGTGTAGTTCTGGTTCCAGAACCGGAACCACCTGGAAACACCATAGCACTTACCAGATTTCCAGCTCTTGTTGTCGCTGGCCGTCCCTTGTCTCTTAGCAGAACAGGAAGTATATAGAGGGCTTCCACAACGGAGACCTGGGTCAAGGCAGATGCACGTCCTTGGAGCATTTGTTTCTGCTCAGTGAAGAGGCCAGCTCGTCGTGGAAGTAGACATTCAGCAACTTTGTCAGCTATGCTGATGCTGTCTTTCTCAACTTCGGCAAGCGGTGGTCAGCCACGCTGCTTCAGCAGCTTTCCAAGTGATCCCTTCGATCTGTTCCCAAGGTGCCACTGAGAGGATGTCATCAGGTTGATGGTCGCCTTCTGCTTCTTGTTCAGGTCGCTCTTGCGCTTGTAGAGTAGGATGCCTTGTCTCCAGTCTTTGATAGAATTTAGCCTAACCAGAGCTTTTGGGTGGGTAATCGAATTAAAACATTGCACGGAGCAGCGCGGAGTAGCGAAGGATTGGTGAATCTTGCCTGGGTGGTGCTGCATCGCAATCGCTGCATTCGGAGAGACAGCTGATACCACGTGTGCGCTTTCAGGTTCCATTTTTAGGCCGGAAAGTCATCCAACTCCGAGGACTTCACCTCGTGAGCATTGCTTGGTCCATCCCAATCTTCACAAATAAGTCTGACATCTTGTTTTCTGACCATTAGTTAAATTTGGTTTTTGCCTATTGGGTAAAACAACTGTTTTACCTTGTAGTCAGAATGATCAAAAACCTTTTTTCTTTACAACTATTTTTCTTTTTGGTTATTCATATGAATAACCTGTTTAAGTACTCTTTTTTGGAGACACTTTGTTTTCCCTTTATACAAAAATATATATATATATAAAATCTATCTATATTGGAATCTCCAATGAAACATTTTTTGATTTGATACAATTTTCCGATAAAATGATGCTGAAAAAACTACATACAAAAGAAAACCAGAAAACATATTTTTTGGATGGGACAAACCAACACAGGATAGAAACAAAAAACACATGTCAACAAATAAATATATTGTATATACATGGATATGTCTCAAACGAGGTGTCTTTTTTTGGTTCCAAAAAGGGTTCTTCGAGAGGAAAAAAGGACACCTCATTTTGAGACAACACACTAATACATGTATGTATTTTAAAAAATAAACATAAATTTACACACACACACACATATATACACATACATATATCATATAATCTTATACATATACTCATATTTACAAATATTTTTGTATAAACTGAATGAATAAATGGACAAATAAATAAATAAATAACTATATTTGTATATTTTGCAAAAATCAGCAAATATTTTTTCGGAACGCGAGGCCACCGCAGGACAGAACCCAAAAATATGAAACATTAAAAAAATTAATGTTCAGTTCAAGAAAAGAACAATTAAATCAAAAACTCACATAGCCAACAACCCAAAATAAGAAGCTCAAAAACTGTGAGACATACGATTCAACAAGCAATTTGCCAGCTGCATTGAATTTGGAAAAGCACGAATTCATGTGAGTTCATGGGTGCTCATGCGCGCTCAAGTGCCCATGGTGTCCATGGATGTTCATGGTTGTTCATGCGTGTGTATGGGTCTTCATGTGTTTTTGTTTGTTTGTCCAACTAAAAAAAATTGAGATGGAGGTCCCAGCCCTGGGCTGATTTCTTTCTTGAATTTTCTGCAATCCAAGGTTTGAAAGGGCCTTTTTTGAAATCAGTTCGGGCAGCAGTAGTTTTGTGAAAACAAACTGTCAAGACTGGATGGCCTTTCATTTGTCAAAAAGCAATGGTCGGCGAAAAAAGAAGAAAGACCTGGTGAGGATTGGTTGTATTCAATTTTTTTTGCAAAAACTAAACGGCCAGCCCAGACTTGATTTAATCACTAAAGGGCCTCCAGCCCTCGAGATCAGAAAACCAACACAAAGATTAACAATCACCTGGAGCTCTCCATCCTTGACATTTATGCCAAAAAAAACGACTAAAAACAAACAATGACCTTGAGTGCTCAGCATTCACATTTTCTACGCAGCCAAACCTGGAATTTGCCATTAAATTTTGGTTTTAGTTTTCAGATTCATGCTTACAATAAGAAAGAAAACGGTTGTCAATTCCAGAGCCCATCCATTGCTTTTTCCTTCCTCAAACCCATTTGCAAGAAAATGCAATCCAACCCAGAGTTAATCAATCACTTAGGTTTTCCAATGCGAATCCATTCCTGAAAACAAATCCCAATGTTTTGCAATGACTTGGGGCCCTCCAGTCATCAAATTCATTCACATGTGCATGGGAAAATCTATCCGAAAAAGTGTTTGGTTAATTTTTTTTGATGAAAAAATGACTGATCAAACATTTTTTGAAAACACACATGTTTTTTCTTTTTAAATCATTTTTTGAAGAATAAATCCAAGATTTTTTGAAGATTTTCAAGGAAATGAGGTGTAAGTTTAATGTAAGTTTGCATCAAACTCACACTGTTGGGGTAAAAGTTTACACTTGAGAGGGGGAACACGAAAGGAGGTAAGCAAGAAAGGAACCGAAGAAAAAATGAAGGGGAGAGGGCAGGGAAAAAAACATAAAGTGGAGTCTGGTAAAAGCGACTGAAAGGCTTCGGCGATGTGGTTGGGGTTGGTGGCGGTTGTGGTGTTGGTGGTGTTGGTGGTGCTGGTGGTGTTGGTGTTGTTGGTGTTGTTGGTATTGGTGTTGTTGGTGTTGTTGGTGGTGGTAGTGTTTCTGGTGTTGTTAGTGTTGTTTGTGTTGTTGGTGTGGTTGGGTTTGTTGGTGGTGTTGGTGTTGTTGGTCGTGTTGTTGGTGTTGGTATTGTTTGTGTTCGTGTTGTTGTTGTTGTTGTTGTTGTTGCTGTTGTTGTTGTTGCTGCTGCTGATGTTGTTGTTGTTGTTGTTGTTGTTGATGTTGTTGTTATTGTTGTTGTTGTTGTTGTTGTGTGTTGTGTGTTGTTGTGTGTTGTTGTGTGTTATTGTGTGTTGTGGTGTGTTGTGGTGTGTTGTGGTGTGTTGTGGTGTGTTGTTGTGTGTTGTTGTGTGTTGTTGTGTGTTGTGGTGTGTTGTGGTGTGTTGTTGTGTGTTGTTGTGTGTTGTTGTGTGTTGTTGTGTGTTGTGTGTGTGTGTGTGTTGTGTGTGTTGTGTGTGGTGTGTTGTTGTGTGTTGTTTGTGTTGTTGTGTGTGTGTTGTTGTGTGTTGTTGTGTGTTGTTGTGTGTTGTTGTGTGTTGTTGTGTGTTGTTGTGTGTTGTTGTGTTGTTGTTGTGTGTTGTTGTGTGTTTTTGTGTGTTGTTGTGTGTTGTTGTGTGTTGTTGTGTGTTGTTGTGTGTTGTTGTGTGTTGTTGTGTGTTGTTGTGTGTTGTTGTGTGTTGTTGTGTGTTGTTGTGTGTTGTTGTGTGTTGTTGTGTGTTGTTGTGTGTGTTTGTGTTGTTGTTGTTGTTGTTGTTGTGTTGTTGTGTGTTGTTGTGTGTTGTTGTGTGTTGTTGTTGTTGTTGTTGTCATTCGTTGTTTTTGTAGTTGTTGTGGTTGTTGTGGTTGTTGTGGTTGTTGTGGTTGTTGTGGTTGTTGTGTGTTGTTGTGTGTTGTGGTGTGTTGTTGTGCGTTGTGGTGTGTTGTTATATGTTGTTGTGTGTTGTGTGTGTTGTGTGTGTTGTGTGTGTTGTGTGTGTGTGTATTGTGTGCGTTGTGTGTGTTGTGTGTGTTGTGTGTGTGTGTGTTGTGTGTGTGTGTGTTGTGTGTGTGTGTGTTGCGT